GGGAAACCCTTTCAAGACCACAGTCACCCATGCATGTTGAGGTATCCCCTATAGTACCTTATTACGTTGGTACTCAACCATCCGGCAGTCATACATATGAACAGTCGAGTCAGAGGATGGGACAAACATTTGGATTTGAAGAGATCCACGATTTATTGAAGTCCCAACAAAAAATTATATTGGACTTTCAAGTATCGGATGACAGTCGTCTAACACAGTTAGAGAATACAATTTTGGAATTTGAAGACTCTGTTTATAGTCGACTGACAACGTTAGAGAATACAGTGACCGACCTAAAGTTACATGTCGTGCGAGTAGAAAAATCAATTAAACAAGCGCCGGTGGAATTTCCGAGAAGGTGGGTTAAAGAATCCCCACAACGAAGCTTGATCAAAAGGATTAAGAATAGGTTAAATAGAAGAAGAAAGTCTCTTTGCTCCCCATATGTTGTTTTTGAAAGAAAGCGAAAGAAAGAACCCAATAAGGAATCGGTTGAAAATAAAGAAGAAGAAGAAGTTGTCGTCGACCAGGTTAATAAATTTCAAGAAGAGGTTGAATCAGTACATAAGGAGGAAGAAGCGCTCGAGCCAGTCACTCATTATGTTAGCGAGGACTACCCAGACAAGGTATGGAATGTTAGGTTTAATTATTTAAGTTTGTTCAGCAAAGATTATGACTTCATTATATTACAGGTCCAGCCAGCAGCAGAAGTAATCAACTTTCCGGCCAGGGATGAAATTCCTGATTATATGCGGGAGACAATTGATATATGCTGTAGAAAATATACCGACTTGTTAGTTCATCTAATTCTTCTTATTGTTTATCACTAACTTAGTAACTGTTAACTAAAGTAATATTATATTTCCAATTCAGCGGTGACCTACTAATTGACATGGGACATATTTCAGTGCCGAGACGTTATATTGATGAGTTTTTGGGAAATGGTTGGTTAGGTAATGAGCAGGTTGATTGTTTTGCCATGTTGATGGAGAATAAGCGGTGTGCTGCACCACAACTATATAGATCTTATCTATATGTATCACCATGCCACTGGGTGAGCTTATTAAGTTGTTTATTTATTTATTAACTTGTGTATATCAATCTTACATGACAATTTGCTGAATGTTGTTATGTTCTTCATGGTGCAGTTGTATAGACAAGGTAATGTGAAACCCTTCGTCGAACATATTACAAAGGATGCTATCCAGAATACAGAATTAATATTGATACCTATAATAAATAATCAACATTGGATACTCCTTGTTGGGACAATGAATGAGAGTAAATGGAGAGTTTATGACTCCTTACCCAACCGGATGCATTTGGCCATCACACAAAGCATTGTAAGTTATAATTATTTTAAGATTGAGCATTTCTTAGACATATTTAATGACTGCTCTTTAAATACACAGATTGAGCATTTCTTGAAGGATACCAGTGATGCTTTCGAGGAGAAATTGATTAAGTGGCCAGTTGTAATGACCAGGGGAATACCAGTGCAAAGTAATAGTTATGATTGTGGTGTTTATGTTTGTAAATATATGGAGACACTTGTTCGGAAAGAGAAGGTAAATTGGGCGGAGAAAAAAGACTGGCAGGAATTAATGCATTTATTCAGAGCAGAGATTGTGTACGACATCTGTAAATTTGCTTTGGATAAATCAGAATAGGTTTCAAAGTTCAACATTTATATGTGCCTTTTACATGATTCATTTTGCTATAAAACTCCACAATTTCGATTGATGTCATATGGTATGTGACCTTCATATGTGCCTTTTACATGATTCATTTTGCTATAAAACTCCACAATTTTGTTGGAACTAACATTGTTCATAAGCATTACAATTAATGTTTTAATTTTCTTCCCTTGTGCAGATTGGTGGCTACCTTCCTGCTGATGGCCGAGCAGTATGGAAAATCTTTGTGACAGCAGCCTTATGTTTGTGGGGTTGTATGTGGTTGTGGATGTGGATGTGGGTATTGTAGTGTTGTAAAGAAAATGTTTGTTGTACAGAACTGTTTATTATACTCCTGTAAATGAAATGTGGAGTTGTTTGTGTAAATCCATATTACAGATAATGAACAATGGAGAATTATTTGTACATTCTGAAACATTCTGAAACGGGTCCAATGAAAACACTTTACTTACTGAATGTGTACAATGACATAATGAAATTGTATACTGATTTCATTAATACACACAATACTCCTTCAAGAGAAAATATCCATATTACAATAATGTGTACAAATTTCTAGATACATCCTCCTCAACAATTTTGTTTACACAGAGAAAATTACACAGAAATTAATATCCCACTGAATTTGTCATTGAAACATAAATGTTGCCTGCATCCTGACTAGAACCTGTATCAACAAACAAAAGAACATATTTGTCAATACTAACAAATAAAAACATTCAATTTAAGAATATGTCAAATCACTTACTGATCATGTATTGGATCTGTCATCATTGCAGTGTATGATTCTCTATGCCTTGGAGGAAAGAAATTCTGCATATGGAATAACCACAATTATTATAAGATAAAAATAATATACACAAATTTCCTCATAAGGTTGCTGACCTGTGTTAGAAAATTAGGCAGTGATGATATGTTTGGATAAGGATTTAAAGACTTGGGTTCTTGACTACTTGAAACTTCAACAGGTATACCTATATAAGTTGTTAGAAAATCAGTCCAAGAAAAAAAAAACAGAAATTTTTACCAGGATATACCTTTTGCTCTTTTTCTTCTCTCCCAGTAACCTTTTAGCCTGGCATTGGATATTCCTTTGGGTCGCATTTTGGCGGGATCAGGAAGATTAGATTGATTATTCATCTGATTTTTTTACTTTTAGGTTGTTTGACTAACTTTGGAACTCTTCCACTTATTATATTATCAATATTCAATGATAATTTTTTCATCGCATCCTTCATGCACAGCTCAGCCTCTTCGTTTCCCTTGGCTTTATTAGTGCATAGATATGACATCTTTTGCATGTGTGTTTCGAATATTAAGCTACCTTTCCCATCGTTCATTATTTGTGACTGTTGGAAGTGCTTGTATGCATCATTGTTGTACACATCTCTCTTTACATTTGCGGACCATCTCAGTAGGAGATATTTATCTGGGAT